TCTATTGATGATATTTACACGTTTTCTGTGATCAGTGATGTCTCATCTTGTGCATTTACGTTTATATAATCGTTGCAAACACCCGTTGCCTGCCATTGGTGGCTGCGCTGGGGTGCCGTCATTGGTCTGTGCCTGGAAGAAGGCGGGACCGTTTCTGCAGAACTGCGAAGCGCCATGATGTCATGATCCGTTGCGCCCTTGGGACCGAAACATGTATTTGGACATGTTTTTTCCTTTCCTTTTGGCGACAGAGTCAATCGATTTCTTTCTGCTATGTGTTTCCTACGTCCCCGCTCCTCACTGCCTTTTGTCTCTTGGCGGCTGCTGCCGTACCACATGAAACCGACTTGCGCGCCTGCGGATACAGGATATCGAAAGTTTGGCACCGCTGCTGTGCTGTCGTTGCTTTGCGACACAGGCCAGACCATGTGTGGCTTGTGCAGTCAGTGAAATGCTTTGGACATGCCGCATCATGACATAATCTGAGAGGAGCTGTAGTTGGAGCCCGGCCCATAGAAGGCAGCGGTGTTTTAAGCATGTTTTGGCCCTTTTTTTTTGGATGGTCTTTCATGTCAACTAGCACACAGACGTCATGCTATGTTATGGTTATCTTGGGGTGGGGTTGGGTGGGGTGGGGTGGGGCAAAAACGTTCATGTCAACTTGCAAACACACGTCATGCTACGTTATGGTTATCTTCTCTTGCACTTGCACACACACGTCATGCTACGTTACGGTGATCTTCTCTTGCACTTGCACACACACGTCATGCTACGCTATGGTTAGCTTGGGGTTGTGTAGTAGATTTGTTTTTTAATCGGATACAACCCCTGATAAGATGACTTTACAGGGACTCGGGAATGGTGAGACCCGGGAAGACATTCATATATATTCTTTCGCAGATACGTAGTCGTGTCGGGTTTCATTGTTATGTTATAGTCATGCTACGCTATGGTCATCTTGGAGTGGTGTCTTAGATATATTTTGTAATGGGATACAACCCCTGATAAGATGTCTTTACAGGGACCCGGGAATGGTGAGACCCCGGGAAGACATTAATAGTTTAGACTGGGATACAACCCCTGATAAAATGTCTTTACAGGGACTCGGGAATGGTGAGACCCCGGGAAGACATTAATATATTTTTTTCGGGGATACGCACTGGGGTTCGGACTCCATAGTTATGTTATAGTTAGTTTATGTTTTGACATGTGTTTGCATTTGCGCTTTCAATTTTCCAAAGGAAAACACGAACTTATGTCAAAAAACGAAGTAGTTTTGGAGATTTTCAAAACCCTATTTTTCACGTCAACATGATAAAAATTGACGTTTCGCTGTAGCGAAAACGCAATTTTTGTTGCACTTGCACACACACGTCATGCTACGTTACGGTGATCTTCTCTTGCACTTGCACACACACGTCATGCTACGCTATGGTTAGCTTGGGGTTGTGTAGTAGATTTGTTTTTTAATCGGATACAACCCCTGATAAGATGACTTTACAGGGACTCGGGAATGGTGAGACCCCGGGAAGACACTAATATATATATTCTTTCGCAGATACGTAGTCGTGTCGGGTTTCATTGTTATGTTATAGTCATGCTACGCTATGGTCATCTTGGAGTGGTGTCTTAGATATATTTTGTAATGGGATACAACCCCTGATAAGATGTCTTTACAGGGACCCGGGAATGGTGAGACCCCGGGAAGACATTAATAGTTTAGACTGGGATACAACCCCTGATAAAATGTCTTTACAGGGACTCGGGAATGGTGAGACCCCGGGAAGACATTAATATATGTTTTTCAGGAATACGCACTGGGGTTCGGACTCCATAGTTATGTTATAGTTAGTTTATGTTTTGACATGTGTTTGCATTTGCGCTTTCAATTTTCCACAGGAAAACACGAACTTATGTCAAAAAACGAAGTAGCTTTGGAGATTTTCAAAACCCTATTTTTCACGTCAACATGATAAAAATTTACGTTTCGCTGTAGCGAACACGCAATTTTTGTTGCTGAAACACTCCTAAAACCATACGGCCCTCTGTGGGTCGGGAACCCTGTAGTTGGGAGGACCCACTGCAGTCCTGGCAGGTCGGTGGGGCTATAGGTGGCCCCGCCGGCCGTGGCTAGGGGTATCCAACACTTTCTCGAATCTGTTTTTACTACATGCTCTTCATTCCGTCCTTTTTCTCTGCAGCCCATTCGAATCACATTAAACCGCTGCTGCAGGAAAGCTTCCTCGGGATTCTTGGCTGCATACAGGCCAGATGTTTTCCGGAATGTATCCGTCCAACAAACAAGTCTTAACTTGCGAAACCAATGCACTTCTTCATTCCAATTCGGCGCGGGTGAACTTTCCTCGGTTAACTTGCTTCTGTCGCATCATTCCCCACCTGCCAGGTAAGTGTCTCTAGCTTTTTAAGCCTCGAAGCCTGTACAGAGGCACGCGCTGAATTTCAAATTGATAATATTGATAGCGAGCTCCAAATCACTATATGGGCATACACGGACCCCGACATGTGCCAGAAGGAATGTGAGAAAGAATGCCAGATGGAATGTTTATATATATATATAGCAGATAAAATGTCAGAGAAAATGTCCGAAGACATGTGAGATGAAATGCCAGATGATGCCACATGCAGATGTGTAAAAAAATAAATTGTCACATGGAAGTCCCAGAAAGAATGCCAGATAAAACTTCTGCAGATAAAATGTCAGATAGATTGCAAAAATGCAGGCCAGATGGGATGCCAGAATATATGCCAGAGAGAATGCCAGACAGATAGAATATCAACATATATGGCAGAGTCCAGATAAAATGCAAGAGTATATGTCAGATAGCAATAATGCCAGAGAGGATGTGAGATAAAATGGCAAAACCTTTTCCAGATAGAATGCCAGGCTCACTATCAGACATAATGTCCGAATATTAGGTTGAATGCTGGATGAAACTTCAGGTAGAATGCCAAAGAGAATGTCAAAATTTATGTCAGATAGAATGCCACTTGGTTGGGGTCACTCGAAGAACGCATTTTTTTTGGACATTTGCCTTGTTGAACAAAACCTCTAGTCCGTGATTCTCTTTTGCGAGTTCAATTTCAGGTTTGGAAAGATGTCGAACAAGCTTGCAGATGAGATTTCTTCTGCAGAGCTGGACGCGCTCATGAAGAACGCCATTTCAGTAGTGGAATCCAATTTTGATGAGAGCCACCTACCCGCAGCCATACGCGACTTCGTTCAACCGATTTCCACTGCAACATGTCAGGGAACATACGTCACGACTATGATGCTCTGTGGGGCAATGCCGTGCTTAACAAACGGAGCTGCAATTCGTCTGTGGACGCAGAAAGCCTCACCGTTGGCCCTTTTGGTGTTTCACATAGCACCACCCCAACGGGGCAAATCTAGATTGTTCCAAACATGTGAGGTGTTGATGGAAGTCTGCGACGACATTGTTGAGCAGATGGCACATGAGCATGCGCGTGCGCTTCAGCCAGAGGGTGCAGATGAATTGCCGGTGCAAGTCAAATCGATGGCTATTCAGTCATGCACAGCCACCGAAATGTTCTTTCGGTGCAGCTGTGACTATCCGCAGGTGCAGGCCGGGCATGGCCTCAATCAGAAGGGCGTTGCGATTTCATGTTCATGCTGCATGTCGCGCTACCATTTGTAATTTCATTTCTTCCAGCATGTCGGCGTCACCGTTGTGTGGCACCAGAGCATCAGTGATGAACCCAAACAGAACGGAGACTTTCTAGACATTGATTCGATTCGCACGAATGATTTTTTTCGCCACTTTGAGTATGGAAGGTCTGCTTATAGCTTCTACACTTACATCCAGAGTGCTTGCAGTACGTGTTCTTTTTGCTTCGGTTTGCCACAAGCCTTGCCGAGGTAGGCGCTTCAAAGCGCGACGTCCAGACCACTAGATTGTGGTGGGGCCAATGCATAAATTGCGACGAAGCGTACGAATTTTGGGATCTTTTTGGATTAACCGGCGACAAGACTTCTGGTGTGAATCCCCACGCCTCCATGCTGAACACATTGATCAACCAGGGTCGGACTAAGCGCGCCACACGCACATCCACCAACTACGGCGAAGGTGTTCGAGCAAAGCCAATTTCTCTAAGTGTCTTGGGAAATGGGCATCCCAAGAGGGTGGTGGCTATGGAACGTGGGCTCATCGGAAATCACACAGTGGCGTGCAAAGAGAGGTTCTTGCTGGTCACAGACCACTCTGTTGCACGCCATGACAAATTGCCTCCTCACATTACGTCCAGCAGCGGAAGTCGGTACACTTGGCTTCCGCTCACTCCCTTGCAGGCCAAGGTGTTTCAGTGGCAAGACTTGCTGAACAACCCGGCATACTTCAAGCAAGCCGGTAGCCTCCAGGTGACCGAGGATGATGATGTGGAAGACATTGACCAGCCGGGTCTTGAAACAGAGGGCCCGCCACATGGTTTTCCGGTGGTTTTGCCAGATGGGGTGCCATCCCGTGTGCGCTATGTGCGTCAACCAGGCCCCAATAACTTTGGATGGACCAATCTTTTTATTTCCTTCAAGTCAAACCTTTCACAGAAGATTCTTTTATCAATTACACCAGATACCTGCAACCATGCCCTCCCTTAGAAACTTTGCTTTCAGTTTCGAGTGGAGCGATCTTGCAGGACAGGCTCTGGTCACAGAATTTCGTATCTCCAGCAGATGGACTCTGGCAGATCCTACTGATCACATCAAGGAAGGCGCGAAGCGTGTTTGTCAGCATTCGCAGCCGTCCACATTCCGTCTTGGAAATGGAATCTGAGGGGCGCAGGCTGCTCTTGGGCACCTGGTCACTAGAAGTTTTTACTTTTGCATCGCCAATTTTTTTTGGCGCCTGCCACGGCGAAATTTCATTGTGTCTTGTCGGCTACATGCTTGTGCCGCGCCGCCTCCAGGCAATCAAGTGGCGCAATCTGTGAGGGCCCAGCAAGCTGCGACAGGTGAAGATGAAGCGATGCACGCAAATGCCGCCGGACTCCAGGGGCAACTTGCTGCAGCCATTTCCGTCCTCGACCTGGCTGGGGGCGGTGGACACTTCGATGCCAACGGAGCCTTGATTATCAAAGCCGAGCATGTGCAGGTGAGATGCTCTTATGTGCTTCTGCTGTCTGCTGCTCTCAATACTTTGAAGAAAAACTGACGTGTGTAACCGTGTCACCTATTTGGTTCATAACGAGGTCCATGGTGGAAGCCTTCTGCACCCAAACCTTTCGGATCCACCCTGATTCGATCGCAGCCCTCTGCAGGTTGCCTGCCGGCTGGTTGAGATTGCCTTGCAGATTCGACATATTTTTCGCCTCCCCCTCGATGATGACCTCTCCGATCAAGAGAATGTGGAGCGCCCTGAGATACCTGTGCACGGAAACTATGAGCGCAAGTTTGGTGAGGCGCTGGCAACCCAAGGATTGCCTGCGCTGCCACCCGAGGAAGAAGAGGCAGTTGCCGAGGCAGAGGCAGAGGAAGAAGAGTTGCTCCCTCCCGCGGCGCACGCGCGGGAACATAGTCAAAACTCAGTGCTATCCAAGTGTCATGGCTCTTGTGACAAAAAACAACTGTTGTGACTTCATTCATGTCCCCATGCGCAGAGACGCAAGCATGTAATGCATACACAGCTTGGACCAGCTTTGAAAAGTGAAGCTGAATCCAGTTTGGCCCCGTCGAATAGTGCGTAATTTGTTCTGCAGGGTTTGAGTTCAAAGATTTGACAAATCCTACCTGCCGGAAGAAGGCCGACGCGAAGCAATAGTGGAGCCAAAGCATGCTTGCATATAATCACCGGAATCTTTGGCGATAAAAACCAACAGCGATGAAATTTTCTGATGCTCCCGCGTGCCGCCGCCCATGGACTACCCCAGATACTTTTGCGCAGAAATGCAGCGTTTTTGCTGGCCGATTCCCCTATAGTTCCTCATGGCCCCTTGAATGTTTCAATATTTCTAACCATAGCGCCTCAAATCAAAACCCAAGCCCACACACACACACACCCACGCACGCACACGCACACACGCACGCACGCGCGCACACACACGCACGCACGCACGCGCACGCACACGCCCACGCCCACGCACACGCACACGCACACACATACACCCTAGACAAGAACTGGATCATTGAAGTGATCCGTTGGGAACTGAATCCCATAATGTGCAATTCGACAAGATATATAGTAGTAAATGACCAGAATATATATATATATACAGATAGATAGGCTATGGTGGCCACCAGGTGCGACTTAACTGCGCCCAGGTGCACCACCAAAGCCCAACAGGTACGCGCACACGGGTCCCGGGGAGGTGTCTTCGTTGATCACCGACCCCCGCGGAATGCGCCACCATCGAAGTTTTACGTTTGTTTTCCGGCGTTTCACACACACACACACACTTTTGCTCAGGGACTTCTATTGAACAGGCACTTCTATTGAATATTAAAATGGCACTGCAATGCATCATCCATACAAAACGACAGCAGAACAAAAACCCTAAAAGGAGAATGGAAGGTATATCATATATCCCATCTCTTCCTTCTAGCCAAGTTCCATTCTGGATGCATTCTTCAGATTCTCCGGTTCTACGCTTAGCCGGTCGGCATGCGGGAAATTTGGAAATCAGTGCCTTCTCAGGGAAAATGACAATGCAAAGGCAGGTACGTCGCGGTGATCAGCCATGATATCCTTTAGTCGGTTGCATGGAGCTTCGGGCTTTGTTGGCGACAGCCATACAGCGACCTTGTCGCCCCGTGCTCTCAATATTTGATGTACAGAAAAACCATGAAACGGCACAGCAGGTAGAAGTTTTACATCTCTTCAGGTGGCGCACGCGCGCGCACGCGCACGCACGCGCACGCATGCGCATACACACACACACACGCATGCACATTGCATGTGTAGAATAAGAAGGAAAGAATGCTGAGGCAACAGGGAATTCGCGAATTCTTCAGAAATCACCTTGAGAACGCTGTGCAACTTTTTATATCTATCGTCCGATAGTCCAGTTCGGAGTCTAGGTTGGGCTTCCCATCTCGTGTCCGCCCGCAAGGAGTCTGCAGACCACCATGAGGCTAGCGAGGAGCCTTTGCCCACAATTTTGTCCTGGCGCGACATCCTTCCGGAAGAGCCTTTCTTCAAGAAAGGGCTGGCGGACAACGATGAGATGGTTTTTCCCTTCCCTCTGCAAGACCGTCAGCTTCTTCGAAAAATTCTTCTTCACGGAGGCAGCGAGTTCAAGGTTTCGAAGCTAGTGGATCTTTATCATGTGGTGCAGACTACCGGAACGGGGAAGGACAAGAAGCGCAAGAAAGTCAGACCAGCAATTGCCAAGGCAAGTCTTGTCTTCGACATCAGTGGTGGCCCAAACTAATCCTTGTTCAGACCCATTCTGTTCTTGCCCGTGTTGTTGGCGACTTGTGGGGCCATATGCCATATGCAGTCAATGGTGTTTCAGTTTCAACGATTTTGCGGCAAAGAAGGTTGAACGCATTTGGCAAGGGTGGTTCCCTGAGCAGGAATTGTTTCGGATTCTCAAAGAGTTATAGCAAAGCGCTTCAATGGCCATGGGCCTTTTTTTGAAGATAATTCTACCTCATCAAAGACTTTATGCGTGCTTTTACATTTAAGCTTGTTGTCTTTAGATTTTCAATTATGGTTTGCACATATCGAGGTGCAGTCCTTAATTCCACAGTGCGAGATAATTAGTTTAGGCATTTACTTCCCAAATCAGATTTGAGGTACGAGGTGCAAGACAAGGCAAAGATGTTGATTCGTTGCACTGACGATGCCATGCGTGAACACACAGATTTGTTTACCGGACAGGTCAAGTCTGTGTTGCAGAAGGCGGTGCAGCGCTATCCACGCATTGGCTCTTTGAATGTTTCAAGCAAGGACTGCACACTGGTCTTAAAGTCGTGGAGCAACTCGAAAAGAAACCAAATTTTGTTTCACAACGACATTTTGCAGTGTGGCCGGGTCTCTCTCAGACAAGTGTCAGAGAGACGTGGCTTGTATAATGAAGAGCAGCGGTCCACCAGTGAGCGCGGCCACAGCGCCGCTGCGCCAGCACCATCTCCATCCCAAAGTGGCCTCCCTGCGCCACCTACTCCGCCCGGTGGCAGGGCTTGAGATGGCGTAACTTGCTTTGGACATACATCGTGCACCAGTTTTGACTTTGCCAGCAGCAGCGCATGTTAAAGCAAAAGTGTTCAGCATACCCGCTTTGGCTTCTGCTGGCAGCAGGGCTTGCGATGGCGTAACTTGCTTTGGACATACATCGTGCACCAGTTTTGACTTTGCCAGCAGCAGCGCATGTTAAAGCAAAAGTTTTCAGCATACCCGCTTTGGCTTCTGCTGGCAGCAGGGCTTGAGATGGCGTAACTTGCTTTGGACATACATCGTGCACCAGTTTTGACTTTGCCAGCAGCAGCGCATGTTACAGCAAAAGTTTTCAGCATACCCGCTTTGGCTTTTGCCGGCAACAGCGCATATTGAAGCGAAGGTGTTGTGGCACAGGCGGGGCCGAAAGCATGTCAGTGGTGAGCAGTCTCCAAGGTTACTGGGCGTGCTTGTGTGAACTCGTGCGGTGGTGCGCAGAGGCATGCAACCTTTTGCTGTTATATTTACGATGTTACAGTAGGATACTCGCATCTTGTTCCGGTCTGCGTGGATTCTGATTGTATGTGCGGCCATCAGTTTTGTTCCCAAGTCTTTTCACGCACGTAGGAGAAGGGGTGGGGGTGCGGTTGGATGACTTTACGCAACCCTAGGTGAGCTAGTACTAGCATGAGAATGATATGCAAACGTACCGCTAGAATTGGGCAGCGGCGCCTCGCAGAGGCCGTGCTTTCGTGCAAGTTCTTACCCCATGAATACTTCTTGCGCACTTGTTGTTGCTTCATCCTGATATCTTTCATCCGTTTCAGGTTGGGACGGTGTAGGGGTGGAGGTTGTTTGGGGCAATTTCGTTCTTGCATTGGCACACTCACTTGATGCTACGATATGAGATCGTTCTTTTCAAGACCGGGGCAGCGTAGGGCAAGAACATTCTTGTACTTGCACACGTATACTTGAATTGCAGCCTTAAAAGAACTTCACTTGCATTTGCGCGCCTACTTGATCACGCGCCACTGGCTCTGCGTCAGCAGACCTGCGCCACAAGATTTTGCGGCTCCACGCGCAGGCTCACCCTCACGCGTGCTTGGACACTTGAGTCCAAGAGACGCAGCAGCACACCTTCGTGCAGAAATGAAGCACGATGCAGGTACATCCTGTAGCGCCACCTCCGCAGCCAGCTGCCAGCAACACCTAGCTTCTTGCTGACAAAGAAATAGACCGTTCTTGCATTTGCGCACCTGCTTGATGCCACTGGGTTCCATATGATAAACTTCTCTTGCACTTGCACGCCTACTTGATGCTACGTTGAAAGACATTCTTTTGCATTTGCGCACATACTTGCTGCCACGTAGGAATATATTGCCCTCTTGCAGTTGCCCGCCTACATGACAATAGTTAAAAGAAATTCTATTCAAACACCATCCCCTGGCTTGCAGCGTCAGCAACTACAAACTTACAGGGAAATTTCAAGGTCCCGAGAGGTTTCGTGGGTAACGCTTCTCGAAAACACGCCGTCTGACTCACAAGTTATGAAATGAAGGTATAAGACGGCCTGCACTAGGCGCCGCCGTCTACAACAGTTTTCTGGCTACAATGACAGGACACATTCGGAAAAGACAGGTACCAAAGCGTTGCCCAGTGAAGACAATGATGTTACCGCTAGCACGGTCAAACAGCTCTAGCCACACATGCTTGCTTGCATGCGCAACGAAAGCAATGGAAATGGTTCACACCCACTTGGCTCTGGCTGCTGCTCATGGCTGTTCCATAATCGGTTGCCGCAGCTACGCGGGCTTTTTCGACATGGCGCATTTATAAGGCAAAAACCGCTTTGAGAGACATGCATTGTAACACGTCGTTTCCTTCAGGTGCCAGCTCACACTCTTCCATTGACATCCACAGCACTCCCCAGGCTATAGTCAGACAGGCGCCAACAGAAGGAACTCTCCAAAAGTAAAGAATACAGGTCTTTTTTCAATCTCTGTAAAGCCTTGCAATTCAGGTGAATGGCCATGGAAGTGCTTTGTTCCTCCAGGTGCTGTTGCCCCGTCTGTGAGTCTCCTTTGCAACAGCGCCGGCCGCGTCAGCGGGGCGCCGTGCAATGTCAGTTGATTGCTGAGCCTGAAACCCTCCATGCTTGGCATGTGAGCAAAATTTGCTCCAGATGTCCATTGCTAAAAAATTTTTGGTGCGGGTTTCAGGAGGTCTTGATCAACGGCAAATGGGTCAAGCAGGTTGATAACCCTCATCCGCTCTATTTCTTTGTCAGCAAGAAGCTAGGTGTTGCTGGCAGCTGGCTGCGGAGGTGGCGCTACAGGATGTACCTGCATCGTGCTTCCTTTCTGCACGAAGGCGTGCTGCTGCGTCTCTTGGACCCAACTGTCCAAGCACGCGTGCGGGTGCAGCTAGCCCGCGCCTGGGGCCGCGAAATCTTGTGGCGCAGGTCTGCTGACGCAGAGC